TTTTTTTTCGAGTTAAGGGCAAGTGTACGATTAAGCTGGATAATTTATAGTTGGATAATATGTAGTAATTATATTGCGGATGTTTATCCGAATGATATATGTACTAATGTTTCGTAATATGTAAACTATATGGGGCACAGAATATTCATTACACAAAATAAAATAAAAAGTATGCGAAGGAGTGTGTAAAATATAAAGGATAGAAAATAAAATAGAAATTACAATTAATTGATATATTATATATTATATTAATTATATATATCATATTAAAATGTAATATAATAATAATTATTAATATCATATTAATAATTACAATTGATTATAATTAGTAAAATAGGAATTACAAATAACTATACAAAATTATGTAAAATCTAGAAAATAAATATGCACACACAAAATAAAATGGAAATTCTGCAGATAATTATATGAAAATTCATAAAATATAAATAAAACACAGAATTACATTACAGGAATAATATACAAAATAAGTTAGTAAATTATTGTACAAATAAATCAAGCTAACAATATATGTATTATATATTCATATTATTTATAATTATAAAAATTATTAATAATTCTAATAAAATTTCTATTTTTACATATATTTTACATACATGATATTTTACTGCATGAAAAGAGAAATGGAATTTTTATTTTTATTAATGCTCTCGTAGCTATATTTTGAAATATTCTGCACTTAGAATACAGAACACATTTCTATACTAGAAATTACATAAAATTAATTAGAAGTTCGTCTATTTTAATTTTCATATATTTTCTGTTTTAGCTCACGTCGATAATGAAGTGTACCTTGGGAGGGCACTGGAGAGGCTCGGGGATGCCGCCCTGAAAGAACAGGAACCGGATATCGGCGCTGCTTTCCTAAAATTTGCAGTCGTCACGAAGGAATTGAGTGCTCTGATGAAAACTCTGGTATACAAGAATATTTTTATTTATTCAGTTATTTATTATTTATCTGTTACATGATAATTGTTTATTTACATGTTTACTGTTCTTCCACCAATTGTTTTAATCCATTGCATCACATACTTACATGTGCATTACAAAAATATCACATAACATCGAATCTAATCGAAGTTGAGTCACTAATGACTAATTTGAATATATATTTCACGATTTATATTACCTTGATCGTTGAAGTGTTCCAATCGCTAGTTGAAACTAATCATCACTTATTTCGTTAGTATAACATATTCCAATGTATTTCAGTCATATCATACTTTTTACTGCATGTAATAAGGGATTATAAATTTTTGTTTTTACATTTGTATTATATTTATATTTATTTTTACATTTACATTTTTCTAATTATATTTTAAAATTTGCATTTGAAAATTATATCTGGAAATAGATCATTTTAAATTCTAAATTTTTATTTTTATTGATATTCTATTTCTACTTATCTTGATAACTATATATGTTCCACAACAGAAAGTATCACATTTTCCTCGTATAAAATCATTCATCAGTCATTAGTACATATAAAAAATATGAAGATTGAACGAGGAGAGATTTATTACATTATAGAGTATATGTCGTATATGTCGTCTGGTTTTGCTGCCTATGTTATTTAATACAGTTGTAAAAACTAATCACTGTTCCAACATATATATATATATATACCTATACACATATACAGTACACATATATTTTATGGTTTGCTTCTGAATGATCCATGTTGAAATATGATACGTAAATGAAATGCTGTGTGAGGATATATAATTAGCTAATTTTAATTGAAAATGATACTTTGAAAAGAAAAAATTGAAATATTTCTTTGATCTATACAGTGATGTAACAATAATAATTATACAATGATTCATATATTACCTATTTATATGAATTGTAAGTATACTACTATACAACATTATATATTCTTTCCTTATTTTTGAATTATTTATATATATATATATATTTTATTGTATTATTACATTATGTTTATTAAATTTATATTATATTTACATTGTATAATTTATTAAATTATAGATAATTTGTTAATAATGAAAAACTATACAGTGAAATGTAATCTAGCTTAATACCAAATTTTAAGGATTCGCCAGTTGTTTGAAAAAATATTTGTAAAGAAAAGCCACCATTTTTATGCATAAAGACCAATCCTCTTTTTTGCATAAAATTACCAATTCTCAATCAATCAGTTAACAATATATTGTATCCGTAACAAGGAACAATGTAAATATTCTAGAACACTAAAATCATTGTATTTGCTTACTTTATGAGATATCAAATTATTCTCAATCTTCTAACAATATGTAACCACAATCATTAACGTGAGATTCTTGTCGAACAGATGCAGAACATCAACAACATCGTAATGTTTCCACTGGACTCGGTGCTGAAGGGGGATCTACGAGGTGTGAAAGGCGACTTGAAAAGGCCGTTCGAAAAGGCGTGGAAAGACTACGAGGCGAAGTACGCGAAAATCGAAAAGGAGAAGAAGCAACACGCGAAGGAGGCTGGCCTCATTCGAACGGAAGTGACGCCGGCTGAAATCGCCGACGAGATGGAGAAAGAGAGACGATTGTTTCAATTGCAAATGTGCGAGGTGAGGCCCCCGAAACGGATCCGGAACGAGCGAGGCTATAACGTTTCTCTGTGTATATATACTTATTACCGGACGATCACTGTAATTTCACGTGCCACGGATATATATTTTTCGTGCCACGCGGAGCAACCCGATGGACTTTCCATCGTCATTTTAGGACAGAAGAGAAAACAAAGGGAAACTTTTGGATGAGGGATAGGCGAAAAATTGAAATTTTGGAAGATCGTTCTGTAGTTATTAATATTGAATGCTTTTTGAAGTTTTAAGTTACATGTATATTACATTATTATTTATGTAATGTAATACGTACGCAATAATAATACATAAACAATAATAATAGTGTAATAATGTGTTTATTAAATTTCTAGTACTAGTACTGTTATTATTATTGTTATAAGAAAATGTAAAATTCTACTAACTTAGAAGAATAATTTTATGTAATATTTCTTTTTTATGTAATATTTCAGTATCTCATAAAAGTGAACGAGATCAAAACGAAGAAAGGAATTGAACTGCTGCAGCATCTAGTCGAATATTATCATGCACAAACCAAGTAAGTGCAATAAAAGAAAATGTGTGATACGAAAATATTAAAGAAGATATATATATATATATATATATATATATATATATATATATATATATATATATATATATATATNAAAAAAAAAAAAAAAATATATATATATATATATATATATATATATATATATATATATATATATATATATATATATATATATTTAACATAAGCATGTGTTTTTAGATTTAAATAATTCGTGATACCATTTAAATAATATACCATTTTATCTAAATTATTTAAATTTTGTTGCAAAATAAATAGAAACGCCTCTTGAAAGATCCTTTCCTTTTGAAATGTATTTTATATAATTTTTCTATATTCCACAGTTACTTTCAAGACGGCCTAAAGACCATCGAACACTTTGGCTCATACGTGGCGGACCTCAGCGTGAAATTACAAAAGATCAGGCAGACGCAAGACGAAGAGAGAAGACGACTAACAGAACTGAGGAATCTCCTTAGGAGTTCAGGTTGCGACAAAGAGGTAAATTATCCTCCTTGATCGCATGGAATAGAGTTCTTTAACACTTTAACAGAGTTTGATGAAATTATCCCTATAAAATATCAGTAAATAAGAATTTATTTGAATAAAAAGTCATTTGTATAAAAATATATTTAAATAAAAATTTATGTTATATCTGTTTTATATATATATATTTATTTTTATTTTATTTATTATGTACATACTAGCTTTTATAGATGACTCTTTTGTTAATATTAAGTTTTAAAAGGTTTATTACTTTTCGGAAAATTAATAGCAGAAATTGGATTGTACAATATTTTGTAAAAACAAAACATTATTATCCAACAATTACTACAAATTATTGTTAAATTATTTATATTATTATTCGAATAATTTTGACAATCATAGATAATAATAAATTATTTAAATAAGTAGAGAGACAACAAAGGAACAATTGCAAATATCATGCGAATAAAATATTGGAATGAAATAAATTGATTACTTTAGATCGATATCTATTTAAAACAATTTAAACAACAAACTCTGATCTATGCAAACATGATCCATAATAATTAAAAATTACATGATTTCCAGTTAAACGTAAACGCGAATGCGGGATATTCGCTTCATCAGCTTCAGGGTGATAAACAGCATGGCGTTACCAGATCCGGGCATCTTTTGAAAAAAAGCGAAGGAAAAATGAGAAGAGTTTGGCAAAAGAGGCGCTGCGCGGTTCAAGCGGAAGGTTACCTAGATATTTGCCACGCAGACGAAAATAAACCGCCAACGAGAGTGAATTTATTAACCTGTCAAATCAAACTGGTGCCGGATGACAAACGGGGTTTCGATCTCATTAGTTGTAAGTTGAACTGTTAACCCATTGACCATGAAATTTGCGAGGGCGAGCTTTAAAACAATTTTATGTACACTGCTTCTCTGAAGCCGAAATATCGAAGAATGTTTCTCTGATGTTAATTCTTTACCTCTTACCACAACTGCTTCTGAACTGAGGCAATAGATACATGTATCATTGTAGTATTAGTTGTAATAAATAATATTTTATAAAATTTATAGAAAGTTTTTTAATGACTTTCAAGTATATTACTTATAGTTACTTTTATATTATTATAGGTACTTGTACTTTCAGTATATTGCTATTTTTACTTTTAATTTTTAGAATTTGATATTTGCAATGAAAAGATATGTAAAAATCGTTCTAAGATCCTTCAATTGAAGATAAATTTGGAGTAATATTACGTTACAATTATTTTTATAACTAGGTATAAATTTACGTGCTCGAAACGTATAACAAACACAAGTAATTAATAAAATGTTGTGTTTGTTAAAAAATTCTTTTGAATGGAAAAGATCTTTTGGTTTATAAGAGAAGTTGTCAGAAGAATATATATCCGCGTCCAAATAAAAATAGTTCTGATTTAATAAAATATATCAGTAAAAATAATATAGCGCCAACGTTCTTGATTACAGACAACAGAACGTATCATTTTCAAGCTGAAGACGAGGCAGATCAGCGTGCGTGGATGTCCGTTCTAGTAAACTGCAAGGAACGTGCATTACTTCGAGCATTCGACGCCAGTGGTAAGGCAGAGGCTGGCACAGGAAATCCAAGTTTAGTCGAACTTCAACAAGCTGTAATACGATGTGTCATGAGGTTACCTGGAAATGATCAATGCTGCGATTGCTCCTCGCAAAATGGTAAATTTGAGAACATGTTTTAGGAATCAAACATTAACAATGTTGCATATCTTCTTTTTCTTTCCAATTTATGCGAAACATCCACTTTCAGTTATTAAATTATGTTATCAGTACTACCGTAAAATGTCGAAACAAATGTCAAAAACATCAGCAGATGTGTTATACTACAAAAATCTTAGATTTACAATAATGATCTTATAATGACAACTTGTCATATTTCTAAGGAATAATTCTGTATAGTAGAAGTATATTTAATTTTTATATATTCACAAAATTTTTAAAAATACCTTTTTTAAAAATAAAAAAAAAGTTACAAAAGGTATTAATTATTTCAATTATCAATAATCCCTCAATTAAATATATCTTAAGAAATAACTACAAATATAAAAATATTCATTCATTCTTATATTTACTCATAAAAACGAAACATTTTCGTTTTTGGCAGATAGTCTAAGATTTTCGTGCAATATTCTGGATTTTTTGACTCTACAATGTCATAAACACAAGTAATTTGCAAACGTAAAACCAATTGGTTCTTCTTTGTTCAATAGATGCTACATGGCTCTCTACAAATTTTGGCATAATCGTGTGCATAGAGTGTAGTGGAATTCATCGAGATCTAGGAGTGCATATATCCAGAATACAGTCCTTAACGTTGGACAATGTTGGCACTGCTCAGTTACTTCTTGCACGACATATGACCAATCAGGCATTTAACGAAGTGATGGAAGCTACGCTGCATCATAATCACAAGCCAACGCCAACCTCGACAATGTACGCCAAACTTACTTGAATTCATACCAATAACAATATTCTAGCTTGTAAATTTTCAATGCGAAGAATTAAACGTGTTTCATTCGTGTGATATAGGGAAGAAAGATACGAATTTATAAGAGCCAAGTATGTCGATAAGAGATACGTGATGAATACTTGCGCAGATGAACGAGATCTTCTTTCTGACTTGGAGCATGCTGTTAATAATCGTGACTTGCAACAACTTTTGCAAGTCTATGCGGAAAATGTAGATTTAGCAGCGCCATTGCCAACATCGGTACGACTTTCAAACCCAAAAATTATGAAAACCAAGAATATTAATTATCTCAAACAAAGATATTGTCTTAAAATGATTATCTCAAAAAAGAATAAAATAAAATAAAATTTATTACATTATTTATTGAAAATTAACTTCACACTTTATATCAAAACTGACCAAAAATTTTATTTTCCATATTTATCGTATGATTGTATTAATCTATGAAAATTCAAATGATTACAGAGTTTATTTAAAAATGATAAAAAACTGACATTGTATATTATTTTCATTTAGGATGTGGGCGAAACGGCTTTGCATTTGGCAATTCTACGCGAAATGGGAAACAGTTTGCACATCATAGATTTCCTAATACAAAACATGTCGACGGGTGGTATAGATAGGACCACCATTGACGGAGAGACAGCATTGCATCTTTGTGCACGACACGACAGAGCAGAGGCAATGAAGCTACTGTTACGAGCAGGCGCCGATCCAACGCATCGAAATAAGCAGGATAAAACACCGCTTGACATTGCCCAAGAAATGGGACACCATACATGTAAAGAGCTGGTAAAGAATCGAGCAATTGCCTTTTTTAATTTGTAGATTGTTGTGTATGCACGCGGTAACGACTGTTTCATTATCCTCAGTTGAGTCATGCTCTGCAAAGACAAAAGACGTTGTTCGACAATGTTAATATCGACTGGAATCTCTCGCATGACGAAGGGTCTACTGATTTTTCTGACGATGAAACGATAATAGAAGACAGGGTACGTTTAACTAAGTAGCAACAATAATGATGAGGCTACGGATTACTGAAACCAATTTGTAATTTTAGAATGGCTGTTTAACACCCGAGAAGAAGTCACGCAGCAGGCCACCTTCTTACGTAGGTGGTGGTGGTAGCGGTGGTGGTACCGGGTCAGGAGACTCGCCAGTGACCTTACGCAGTCGAAGTAGCACTTGCGACAGCCTGCAAAGCGGTTCTTCACCAAGTTCCTCGACAAACAGACAGCAAATGCCTCCACCACCACCGCCTCAGTCGAGGAAACCGGTTGCTGGTACGATATGCCCTGCGTTATTAAATAACGATGAATTACAACGTTTTTGACAAATTACAACTTTCAAAGACGATTTGTATTATTATAGAAAATGTTGCAATCTAAATTGTAGAAAATGTTTGTCATCTTCTAATTCATAGCATCTCGAAGAAGTTAGGCTTTATCTCTAGTTCTTGTTTTATTCTATTTCATAACTGTTCATAGAGTAAAATCTTATTTATCATTATTTTCAGTACCTGCTCCCATGGCTCCAGATATAACGGTCAATATTCATGGGTCATTGAAGAAGCGCGTAGCACCACCACCACCACCGGCCGGAAGTACAGGTGGTATACCTTCCTCTCATTACGGTACACTACCTTCGTCCGCGTCCTTAGCAGCGTCAACGCATAGCCGTACAACGAGCGAACCGATCTTAGCTGGGCATTCTTTACATACTCTACCACATGCGTTAAATACATTAAACAGTCAGCATCATAAAAGATCGCCCAGTGGAGATTCTTCAACGGGACACGGTGCGTTTGAAAATTCACGCAAACCTCTCTACGAACTGCCGTCTAGTTCGGGTAAACTTAGAACCTGTGCCTGTCCAATCTGTGCCTGAAATTTATTCGATTTTGTCTGTTATATCGTTAGGTGCGGACAAAGTGAACAGCTCAACGCTGCAGAGACCGAGGAACCCACCGCCGCCAGCTCCATCCGGTATCAACTCCTCGAGATTGAGCAACGGACGTAGCAGCGAATCGTTGAGTTCTATGTGTTCGGATCACGGTTTGGGTAATCCCGTTCCACCTCCGCGCAAGGTAAGTTTTCATTTTAGATTCAACTTTGTGTGTAAAGAATATGGTAACGGGTGTTTTTCTTTTTCTCTCTCTCTCTCTTTCTCTCTTTCTCTCTCAATAGAAGTACAAAAGTATCGAATTAAAGAAATCGAGGAATAACCTGGTTTTTTTTTATTATTTTCGACTGTATTGCGAGTCCATCCGAAATATTATTTCACGCTAAGGCGAATGACACTTTATTTGTATTTTATTTTGGCGCATATCAAACATCGATGCCGGTAGATATCTAACATGTCCTTTCAACGCCATGTGTAATGTACATACATCCGTTCAAACGTAACAACTCGTTCATTTTAACATTATAGTATATCATACTAACTATGGTGATATTAAAACACGATGTTATCCCTGTCACTGTCCCCCACGTAGTACTTAACAGATAGTAATCCCCGTTTTTTTAAGAACCTTTGATACTTTGCATATCATACTAACCATACATGCCTAGCCACGATTTTTATTAATATAAATATCATATGTATACGTCCCATCATTCACGACCATTGTTGACAGTGTTGAACCATTTGCTAAGAATCATATTCGTATCCATGTTGCATACATCATAAATCACGTTATTTCATGTCATCTCAGAAAGTAACCACATGATAATGTAGCATAACTTTAACGAATCAAGGAACATTGATTTAAAGAGTGGAAAATTTCATTGAAATTTCCTTAAAGAAAGACAATTAAAGCAAATGACAATTAACACAAGAAGTAATAGTTTTATCAAAATGTTTGAAGATTGAAAAAAAAAAAAAACAAACGGGATATTTTCCAGAGAAAAATTCGAGACACGTGATGTGATTTTCTTTTTTCAAAATACCAAGTCGATAATTAGACACTGCATGTACATCAAAGACCAGTGCTTTATGGTTTGTTATTAACCATTGTTGGTACAGCGAAGGGACCGGGCCAGGCTAGAGAGCTACGCAGAGGAGCCTTCATCTTTGCTCCCAAATCTGAATCTGGTAAACATCAGCCATCCCACATTACTGCTTGCTACACTTGAAATGTCTCTTATCAGTCGTATGCGATACTTTAATGTAAAAAGATTAATTTAAAAAGTAAAAAATTCGTGCGAGAAGCAAGTTTAATTGCAATAATAAAAAGCTATAAATTAACACAGTGTGCCACTATACTGTCACTTTGTTCTTTTTTTTTTTTTTTCTTTCTTACCTATTTCGTTCAATTTTTTTGCTTTATCTGCATATCTGAATTATGTTTGTCGATAATATTGCATATGGACGAATTTAAAAAAAAAAAAAAAAATATATATATATATATATATATATATATATATATATATATATATATATATATATATATATATATATATATATATTGTTGCAGCCGATAAACCGTATGTATAAGAAAAAGCGGAGATAGTAAACGCGCGATATATACTGCCCGTTCTCTCCAATCCATTCTCTCAATTGACCAAAAGAGGATTTCACACCGCAATTCTGCACACCGACTCTTTCAAACCACTCTAATAAAACTCTTACACTCGGGGCTCGGGATACTCCCAAAGGACTCTTCACAACTGATCCACATTTCGAACATATGCCACTTTCAGTTCTCTCACCGCGCCTCGGTATCGCTAGCCACGTTCTAACCGTCTCTTTTACCATCCGCCTTTTTCCAATCCGCGCCACTCGCTTAAATATATATTTTACTTCTCGTTCGATATCGCTTCGACCTTATCGCCCCCTCTTCTTCTTCGTCTCGCGCGCGACGTTCAAATCAAGTTTCGTCGTATTTCTCGCGTTGCTCGTTTCGGTGAAATAAAAAACGGTGATGTATAGTTAGAGCGGAGCGGCCGGGCGTTATTGATCGTTAGGAAAAGTTAGGGAACTCTTTGGAAGATTCTATTTGTAACGTGAAACATTGTTTGAAAAAGTAGAAAAAATATTCTCACGTCGTGAGTTTCAGTGTGAAAACAGGCGAAGAAGAACAATTCTTGGAAACGAAAGTTCCAATTTAGAACGAAATTTATGTAAGAAAATAAATAAGAGAATGAATTTATATCAAAATTGCATTTAAAAAGTTCAGTGATATATGTGAATCTTACGTTTAGTTATTTGTTTGCGACAGATTTTTTTTACGTGACAGATGAATTGTTTGCTGAGTAACTTAAGGTTGTAGAATTAGGTTACTAATCTTTAAATATTTTGCCCTAAGAGTCGCGATAAATTGGAATATATTGCACCGTGACATTCAACCGTTTGCACCACAATTGTTTTCCCAGTTGGTTCTAGGCCAACTCTGGCCTAATTTCTCCTGCTAATTTGTTTTATTGATGCGTATGAAACGTCGTGTTAGAGGTGACTTCAGAGTTCTAGAGAAAAATAGTTCTGTCGCGCCAGAGGCGTGAGGAATAAGTTATTTTAATTATTATATTAAATATTAGTATTATTTTAATACATTATCGAAAATTTCCAGTAAATGAGATTTGTGTTGTTTTAAATTCGATGCAGACTTGAAGTAGTATTGTCAGAATAGATATAAACATAAAAAAATCTTTTCGTATTTTGAATTAACACTGGAATTACTAATGTTACTAAAATAGTAAACTAATCAAAATTAACAATACCTGATAAAACCAAATTTAAATCATTATTTATAGAAATTTTATAGATTGATTTTAAAACATTTTTAGTGTATTTTTAGATGTAAAAATTTTATATTAATTACTAATTTTATATTTAAAGTATTTTTATTATAACTCTAAATATAATAAAATACTATATATATATATTTATTATATTTAGAGTATTTATATATATATTATTAAATGAAGTTGAACATGCAAATAATTTTTTTAAAGAAAAATTAATATTAATATAAATTGATATAAAAATTCTATTTAAAATTAATAAAATAATTAAATTTAATCAAAAATTTATGAAATGACAAAAAATATAATAGGAATAAATTTTATAATTGTTGATAAAAAAAACAATTTGTTGTCATGATGATTTTTCATAACAAAAAATTATTCAGTTATGAAATGGAAATATTCTTGTTTTTATAAATAATATTAATATAAAAAAACTTATTAAAATTTTTAAATTTATATTAGAAAATAAATGAAAATAATTATTAATAATAAAAAAATATAAATATAATAGATGATAAAGATGAAATTGAATAATATAAAATTCTAATTATTTTTGTAGAATTTTTTGTAATGTTTAATAATCTAATTATTAACATTATTGAAAATTCATAAACAATTCATTTTATTATAAAATTATCAATTATTATATGTATATATATATATATACATTATATATTTATTATATTTAGAGTATTTTTATTTATATTAGAGTGTTTTTAGAGATTTGAGTGATTATTATTAAAATACATAAATAAGAGCTTGTGTTCTCTATATTGTAACCTTAACCTCTGTATTATACCCCCTACTTGCATACAAGTTTAATACTTCAGTCGTCGGTATTAAAAATGTAAATCTACCGAATACCACAGCATCTCAGGTGCGAGATTGCAACGATGAAGGTCGTTCGTCTGCGTCAAGCTTAAAAAATTTAGCGACATCAGTCAACGTGTTACGAGAAGATGAGCATCGTCTAACACTATTTTTTAACATTCAATAAATAAAAACACAAGGTCAATTTACTTAATTTCGAAATGTTTCATTGAATTCCGTAGCCTAGATTTTACAATTAATTTACGAAGAAATAATTGAATTCTATTAACTGAATTTCAATAACCTTTCGTATAATTACTAGTCATTTATAGACAACCCAATGACAATATTAACGAGAATTAATTAACATTTAATTTTTGCCTACCACATGCTGCGTACTATGAATCCCACGATTTCATCTCATTTCCTAATTTTCCACCTCTACGACTATAATACAGAGACGAGTGTAATAAATGTTCTAAAAATGTTTATAGTGTTCAAAGGATTTGTGAATTGTAACAAATAAAATTGAATGAATACACATACATCATGAATGCATTCGTTTTTTTTTTCTTTTTCTAACGATTGTATAACAATGAGACAAAATGTTTAATTAAAAAGCTCGTGTTAAGTAGCATAAATTGCAGCTTGCAAGTTAATACGCAACGTAATGTGATGGTTAAAATTACATCAACCTTTGGATCATTTATCGTGTTATTCAGATTATTATCATATTTGGGTTAATTATGATCAGGTAAACTAATAAATTCCGAGTTTTTATGCATTTGCGAGAATCTTAAATATGCATTATTGCGCAGAGTGCGCGTAATATGCGGAACTGTACGCAGAGTTTAGCATCTATTATAATAGTTGGTAGGAAAAACAAAATTTCTGTTCCTCTGCAGCTTCTGTTCTTTCATTTGTTTTTACGAAGATACGAATTTGCATAACTGTCTGCGGTCTAATTATTAGCAACTGTGTCAGTACACGGCGGTCGTAACATAGTTTTTGGAGAAAATTGATGTTGCTAGGAAATTTCAATGCTTGTTTGAATTTTCGTTTTTATAGTCGTATTTTTTCTCTTTGTACATTCGAAAGTTAACTTCGAATTAAACGACTATTTTTTTCAGAAATAGAGAAAAGAATCAATTTCTTATTGTTACTATCGAAGAAAAATTACTTACATTTATCATAACATTAATCATTATTTTAATACAATTGCAATTGTACGAATAACAATTTATTTATGTATTTAAGGAAAGAAAAAGTGGAAAAAGTTGCATGTAAAAGAAATAATAAATAAAGTAAAATGACACGAAACGAAAATAATAAAATAAAAAATAAATAATATATAAATAATATTATATAAAATAATAAATACTAAATAATAAAATTAAAAAAACAAAGGACAATTATGCTAATAAAAGAAATATTATATAAAATAATAAATAATATTATATAAAATAATAATTAATATACAAATAATATTATATAAAACAATAAATAATAAAATTAAAAAAGCAAAGGAAAATTATACTAATAAAAGAAATATATAAAATAATAAATAATATGTAAATAATATTATATAAAATAATAAATAATAAATAATAAAATTTAAAAAAATTATGCTAATAAAAGAAATATTATATAAAATAATAAATAATATATAAATAATATTATATAAAATAATAAATAATATACAAATAATATTATACAAAATAATAAATAATAAAATTAAAAAGCAAAGGAAAATTATACTAATAAAAGAAATATTATATAAAATAATAAATAATATACAAATAATATTATATAAAATAATAAACAATAAAATTAAAAAAGCAAAGGAAAATTATACTAATGAAAGAGTGCAAGGGAAAATAATACTAATAAAGAAAAAGAAAAGAAAGAACGTCGACGATTTCTTGAAACGATTGATCAAACAGTATCAATAAAATTTCACGTGATAAATTGTATTAATAAAATTTCGCGTATACTTCGCGGTTAATCCTGCGCGAGCATAATGTCCTCGTAGTCTTAGCACGAGCGTGCTCGTTAAATTTTGCCGGTTTCGTGGAAGATCCTCATTCCTCACTGGCAGTATTCCAGACCTATATTTCGACCGGGCCAACGATGAAGTAAAACGAAATAGCGCGGGGGAACATTCTTTGTTCCATAATCTTTTTCGTAGGAACATCTAGGCCGTTTGAAGATTACGAATGCAGAAGCGCTCTGTGTAACTGAATGACGGTTCTCCTCCTCCTCCTCCGTACGGAATTACGAAAAAATTCCCCTCTCGCCGAGAGAGGAGAGATTTCACGCTCAGCCGGTCTGAAAAGCGGGGCGAATGGGATGAAAATATCGGCGGAACGATATTCCGCGAATGCGGCTGTTTAAAATTCACTTTGTTCAATTAGCAAAGCAGACCTCCTTTTCTTCGGCAGGCGCCCTCTCCATCGAAACACACAGAATTACACACGAAAATAACGAGATCAACGAAATGTTAAACTTGAATCAGTAGGCTGCGATAATATTTGAAATGAGAAATTAAAGGAGATTATTTCCCCGCATTTTCACTGGTGTTGCACTGGTTAGCTCCGAGTGATTGTTTATTGTGGATTGAAATTTTAACAGTACAGGATTTTGAACATTGTTCGGATAAATACGAGAGACTGTTCTATAAATTGAGTGCAGAGTTGAGCATATTTTATTCGAACAACGAATAACGAGTAACGAATAAATCTGTCAAATTTATTCGTAAATAACGAATAACGATTTCAATCGAGAAAAAATTGTTCGTTATTTGTGAAT